CTGCCCTCGGGGCCCGGCACTGACACCCTCCGTGCCTGCGCTCCCGGCAGGTGCCCCTGCACAGCCCTCGCCTCCCCGCTGCGCTCTGCCCTGCGCTCAGCCCGCACAGCCACAGCTGCACGTCCTGACTGCTCGCTGCTGACATGGCACAGGGCAGGGACCACCCCAAGCCTGGGGACCTGATCGAGATCTTCCGGCCAATGTACCAGCACTGGGCCATCTACGTGGGGGATGGATATGTCATCAACGTGACACCTGTAGGTAAGGCTTGTGCCACCTGGCAGGGTGCCGAGTGCGTGCTGGCATGCCCCAAGAGCCCTGTCTCCCTCTATGGGCTGCTGGTGGACTCTGTGTGTGTAGATAACCTTTCCAGGCACAATCAGAAACTCATGTGAGTTCCTGGAGAGGCCAGAGAGGGTCTGTCTGCCTGCAATATCTCCTCTTTGGCTTATCCAGATGAAGGAGCCCCATCCCTGTCAGTGAGCACCACATCAATATTCACCAGAAAGGCTAAGGTGAAGAAGCAGCTCCTGAAGGAGGTGGTGGGAAATAATGAATGGCGTGTCAACAACAAGCACGACTGCTCCCGCACTCCTCGCCCCGTGGAGGAAATCATCCAACGTGCTGAGGAATGGGTTGACAGGGAGGTGCCATATGATGTGCTTGGCAGCAACTGTGAGCACTTTGTGACAGAGCTCCGCTATGGAGAGAGAGTCTCTGATCAAGTGAGTGACACTGGCTGAGCCCCCGGTGCCTCCCAGAGCCCCTGGGCCTGGAGGGTCACTGTGGTCTGTCTGCACCCTGACAGAGCCCTCTCACTGAATGCCAGCTCCTCGGGGTAAAATCCTGGGTGTTACCCTTCTGCTGCTGGGGTACATGTGTCCCACTGCTTTATTTACCCTGACTGTCCCTGCCTTTTCTATGTTATCATGTGGGGGAGTGTAAATGTAGGTGCTCCTCATGTTTCCAGCCTGTGTTTTACTTTCACCTTACAGGTCACAAAGGTAGTTATTGGTGCTACAGCAGCCGTAGGAGGTATCATTCTTGCTGGACTTGCCACTGCTGTTGTGAAGGGTTTCTGTGGGGACTCATCCAGGAAAGAGAGAAAATACTACTGATGGGCTGTCAGGAAGAGCTCTGAGCAAGGCGGGGGGAGCACCAGGAAACAGCCATCACTGGTCAGCTTCTGCTACACCTGCCATCAAAGCTGATTAATTACCGTGCCTTGCTGTATACATTAAATAAGCCTTAATAATTGTTAGAAACCCAAACTTTAATTGCCCCCAAAACCTCTTTTATCTGAGAATATCTTTGTGTCTAAGTTCAATGATTCAACCATGCTTTTCCCTGCTATCTCTTTAATAAATAAAAAGTCAAGATTGGCACCCTTTAAGGTGACCTCCAGCAGTACTAGTGTGGTTGCCTGGTTGCTTTTATTTCATTATCTATGATGATTTTTGTGGTAGTCTGGGAACATTTGCGCTGATGCAGGCTTTTCATCACTTTCCATCAACTGGTTCCTGCAGGCTTTTTCTGTATATCCATTACTTCAACTTTCCAAAAAAAGTAAGAAAAAAGTACTGCTGAGTGTTCTCCAGCAGAGGTTCTATTTTGGTTGGGAAAGCCCTGGCTGCAGTGTCTGCAAAGGAACAGGCAGGGCATGTGCAATGTCTTGGAGCCTGTACTTGTTCTGCCTGAAGTGAAAAATTCCTGGGAGGTCGGGAGGTTGGAGGGCAGGGTAGGTCTGAGTAGCTGTATCTTTCAGAGTTTTAAAGGAGTGCTCTTTTAAAGGAGTTTGGCATAATGGTGTTTTGCATGGTTTTTCCTTGCCTACAAAGTGTTAACCAATGTAGAGCCACGCTGTTTCCTTGTCACAAAGCTGATGTGTGGATTGTCTTGGAAGAAAACCTCCAAGGGAAGTGTGCTTTATTGTCCTTTACCTGGAGTATCTGCTTTAAGTGTTTGGAAACATGTTATCTGCATCTCACTTGTGAGACACAGAATGCTGTGCTGCTTTTCTTACAGGCAACTGCCTGGACTGCAGGGAGAGGTGAGAGCAGAACAGCTGCCTGTGAGAGCCTGGCTGGTTTTGTCTGCTCTGAACAGGTTGCCCAGGGTTAACCCTAGGCAGCAACAAAGGACCAGGCAGCCACTCACTGCCTCCCCTGCCAGCCCCATCAGGGAAGGAATCAGAAGAGTTAAAGTGAAAAATCTGTGGCTTGAGAGAATGTTGGTTTAGTGGGTAAACTGATAGATGTGCAAGCAAGCAAAGCAAAACAGGAAATTAATTAATTGTTTTTTTAAATGGCATTTTCACAATGTTTGACATAACCAAGCATACAATCCTTGTTCTGTTTTGTACTACCCTTTGTTACTACATGTATTTAAAGTTCTTAGTTTTAATACAGAAAAATATACTGTAATGAAACTGAAATTTAAAATCCTTTCTGAACTCATGAAAATGGAATCAAAACTTCTTTCCTGGCTAAGCTATTTAGGTGGTTATGCAGCAACCCATGAGCTGTAATCTTTCTGTACTCAGAGCATTCTCTCTGCACACCCTGGCAAGGGAACACTGTGTGTAGGCAGCATATGGACATCTCTCATCTCTATTTCATCCTGTAAGGGAAGAATACAGGAATACAGGAATTACTTCATCTGGGGACTTACCTTGTTGTTCTTGGAAGCTGAAACATTTCACAGAATGCAGAAGTTTGCAATTGCACCGTGCTTCTCTTTGCTGTCAAGGTGATGCTGCTCATTATGGGGCTGCCTTTCCATGGAGCCTGCTGCGTGCATTGACAGGATTTGGTGCAACACTGCCTGAAGCATGAACTGAGAGTGTGAGGAGGAGCAGCAGAACCCATCATTTGCAGTATTCAGAACTTCTGAGCCTTTCTGGGAAACGTTGGCAAGGCCCAAGACCTACTCAAGTTGCCGTGGGGTAGAGTCAGTGCTATTCCTTTCCCAACAGCTGAGAACAATCCTT